TGGGATTTGGAATTCACAATATATTACTTTCTGCACTTGAAAAACTATTGCAATACTTCCCTTTGACCTTCATGTTTTTGGATGAGAAATTTGTTGTCATTTGAATTGGTGATATTTATTATGCAATGTGTTGTATCTCTGGCTTTTTACTAAGAGTTTTATGCATCTTTAATTTTTAGAAGTTTATTTATAATATTTCTTGACATAACTGTTTTTTTTTCCCTTTTTGGAGTTCACACAGCTTCTTAGATATATAGATTTATTTGTTTCCACATTTATGAAAAATTTTTGGTCACCAGTTCTCCAAATACTGTGTTAGTTCCTTACTCTTCCATCTATCGTTGTGTAACTCTAAATATACAAATGTTAGGCCTTTTGTTACTGTCCCACGGATTCCTAAGTGTCTCTTTTTCTTTAGTCTATTTTCTCTGTGTTCTTCAAATTGAGTAAGTTCCATTGATATATCTTTAAGTTCGCTGATTCTGTCCTCTTACCATTGGCATTAACTTATTCAGTCCATCTAGTGATTTATTTATTTCAATTATTATACATTGCAGATCTATAATTTTCATATATTTGACTTTATGAATATAACTTGTTTCTTTTCTATTTTTTCATTTGTTTTAAACTAATTTTTTTCCATTTTTAACTTTCATGGGTGCATAGTAGGTACATATGTTTATGGATTATGTAAATTATTTTAATACAGACATGCAGTGCATAATAATCATTTCATATAGTAAATGGGATTTTTATCTCCTCAAGCATTTATCCTTTGTGATATAAACAATCCAATTACTCTTTTAGTTATTTAAAGTTTACAACTAAATTATTATTATTACTTAAACTAAAAAATATTTTAATTATTGGGATGTCTTTAGGTTTTTATGTTGTTCAGTAATATTTCCTTGTTATGAAAATATTTGTTCATTGAGCAAAAGTTTAAAAGTGTGATGAAAATAAAGATCATTCAAATATTATTAATTAGTGGAAGGAACTATAAGCATTTTGTTTTATTTGTCTCACGTCTAAACTATATATGCACAGAAAAAACTTTTTGTTTTGAAATAATTATAAACACATAAGAAGTTATAACAACAACAGAATTGTTGTATGTACACTTCCCCAGTTATACCTGATGGTTATATTTTACATAACTAAAGTATACTATCAGAAACCAGGAAATTGCAGTTGGTACAATGAGTGTATGTAGTTCTATGTCCTCAGAAGCCAGGAAATTGACATTGTCACAAAGCGTGTAGATAGTAGTATATATAGTTCTATGTTATTTTTATCACATGTATATATTTGTATAACAACCATCACAATAAAAGTTTATATGTATATTTTTAAATAAAAATAATTCTGTATTATCTGCTTTATAACTATTTTCCATTTAACAATATACTGTATTGAGTACATTTTTTAATACAACTACTATCTGTCCTGCAATGGTAACATTTTTATGTCTGTCCTGTATTCCATTGTATAGGCATCTTTGTATGTTCATCTGGGATAATTTCTTTAAAATAGGTAAAAGTAGGTGCTCAATGGCTATGGACTTATTTTTTTATTTCTTTTAATTGTATTATCCTTTATGTTCTGGGATATATATGCAGAATATACATATTTGTTATATAGGTAAACGTGTGCCAAGGTGGTTTGCTGCACCTGTCAACCTGTTACCTAGGTATTAAGCCCTGCCTGAATTAGCTATTTGTACATTAGCTATTAGCTCTCCCTCTCCTTGCCCCACCAACAGACCCTCGTGTGTGTTGTTCCTCTCCCTGTGTCCATGTGTTCTCAGTGTTCAGCTCCCACTTATGAGTGAAAACATGCAGTGATTGTTTTTCCGCTCCTGTGTTTGCTGAGGGTGATCGATTATTTTTTACTATAGTCACCTTGTTGCTTTAGAAATAATTAATAAGACCCAGCATTTGCTAACAATTATTTTGTACCCATTAACCATCATACTTCACTCACTAACCATCCAAAACCCTTTCTGGCTTCTGGTAACCATCCTTCCACTTTTTGTCTCCATTAGTTCAACTGTTTTAATTTTTAGCTTCCATAAGTTAAATGAGAACATGTGAAGTGTATCTTTCTGAACCTGGCTTATTTCACTTAACATAGTGAACTACAGTTCCATCCATGTTGTTGCAAATGACTCAATCTCATTCCTTTTTTATAGCTGAATGTTACTCAATTATATATGTATACCAAATATTTCTTATTCATGCATCTCCTGATGGACTCAGGGTGCTTCCAGATAATGGCTATTGAGTACAGTGTTGAAATAAACGTTAGAAGGCAGAGCTCTTCAATATACTAATTTCCTTTCTTTAGAGTGCATACTAAGTAGCGTGAGTGGAAGGATCATCATATGACAGCTTTTTTTTTTTTTTTTTTTTTTTTGAGAAACCTCCAAACTGTTCTCCATTTGTATTATTTACATTCTCGCTGATAGGGTAGGAAAATTCCCTTTTCTCCACATCCTTGCCAGCATGTAGTACTGCCTGTCTTTTGAATAAAAGTCATTTTAACTGGGTTGAGGTGATATCTAATTGTAGTTTTGATTTGCCTTTCTCTAATAATCAGTGATGTTGAGCATCTTTTCATATACCTGCCTGCCATTTGTATGTCTTCTTTTTAGAAATGCCTGTTCAGATATTTTGCCTATTTTTAAATTAGATTATTAGAACTTTTCCTGTAGAGTTACTGGAGCTCCTTTTAAATTCTGGTTATTAATTTCTTGTTCAGATGTGTAGTTTGCAAATATTTTCTCCAATTCTCTGGTATTTGTTACTGCTGCCTATTTAGTTCATTTGCTGAGGTCATGTTTTCCTGCATAGTCTTCATGCTTGTGAACATTCATCAATGTCTGGGCATTGAAGAGTTAGATTTTTATTGTAGACTTCATAGTCTGGCTTCTTTGTATCAGTCTTATTTGGAAAGACTTTCCAAGTATACAAGGGAATTGAGTGCTGTGATCTAAATCTTTGGTCACTGCAGCCACATCTTCAATACGGGCACCCCAATCCCACTAATATTATGTTTCTTGCAAACTTGTAGAGGTATTGCCTTGGTGGTCTTGAATAAGATCTGGAAAAATTGTCTAGGTTACCAGGCGGAAACTTTATCTTCCCTTACTTTGTAAGGTACAATATGATGTCCCCTTTCCTCCCTTGGGGCAGGGTGGTGCAAGCACTCCCTTAGTCATGTATGTCTCAGTATGTTATGTATAACCTCCAAGTCCACTGGCTTTGAGGCCATTTCAGCACTGCCTAGACTGCCCTTTAAGTTTATTTACAGGTGATCCTGTGGTGGTGAGGCTTGCTGAACTCAAGTTTCTACTACGGGGATGTGTGATTCCCCTGTAGATAGGATTGCTCAATATGCTTCCTTCATGGAGGGCTGTCAGCTGAGTTCAGTCTGGTTTTGCTTTCCACTGTGACAGGGCAGCATTGAGTTCAATGCAATATCTCACAATTGCTGTGCTCTCCCTCTCCCAAGTGCATGAATTCTCACTATGCCAAATAGCTGCTATTAAGAGTTGGGGGAGGAGTGGCATTGGCATTTCTAAGACTATCTTTTCTTACCCTCTTCAGTGGCTGTTTTGTGATATGAAATTAAAACTAGGTATTGTTAGTGCTCACCTGATTTTTGGTTCTTATGAAGGTACTTTTTCTGTGTAGGTAGTCGGAAAATTTGATATTTCTTTGGAGGTGTGAGGGATAATTGGTAGAGGCTTCTATTCAGCCATCTTGGTCTACCCTCCGAGATAATTTTTAATTGAATGTTGAAGCTCTTTTATGAGAGCTACTTTAAATCTTTGTCACATAAATTAACATTTGATTCATCTCAGTTTTGTTTTACTTGCTGATTTGATTTCTGGAGCTGCTGGACATACTGTTCTGTCCCTGCTGATGCCACATAAAGGGTATAAGGTACTTTCTTGAACCTCCTGCTCTTGTTGGCTGAACTTTTGAAAGTTGGAGAGAAGCCTTGGGGCTTTGGAGTAACAGCGGTTCTCTGATATTGTCACTGTGAATAGGTGGGACTGCCCATGAAGCCCCATTTGTATTGCAGGAGCTTGAATGGCCTAGTGCTTCACTGACACTACTGGCAGTGGATAAGTTCACCTACAGGGACCCCGGGAGTAAAGCAGAGTTTGGGATTCTCCACTATATCTCTGTTGGCCTTCTTCTTTCCTGATCTTTTGAACAGGAAGAGCAGATTTTTCTAGATTTGTTTGTTTCCCGTATGCCTGTAAATGGTTCCAGGTCACAGTCCTTTTTGCTACCCAGTCCAAGAGTTACAAGAGATAAAAAGGAAACCTAGGAGGAACTCACCACATTGGCATTACTCAGCTTTTTATCCAGCATGCTTTTAGAATTCTTGTATCATGGTCTGTTGAATAATTTCCAGAGCTTTAGTGATATTAAGTGTAGAGAAGCAGAAAATAGTGAGTCTATACCTTCTAGTTGCTGAACTGGATGCCCCAAAACTTATTTTAATGCCTTTTAATATCTTTTCTTTGCCTCTTTTTTCTTTCTATATATTTTTATCAGCATCTAATATTTTTCTGGGTATTTAACTGGCAGAAGTGAAAACTTTTATTTTTTCCCATGATTTTGTTATTTTCAGATATTCTCTTTAGTCATACGGTCATTTTCTTGATAATGTGTGTTCTAGGACCTTGAAGTTCTTCCAAAAGACACAGTGGTCTATTTGTGGTTCACAGTGTCAAGGGACCAGAAGCCGAAATCTTTGTTTCAAAACCTCTATAGCTCAGTGGTTCTAATCTCAAAAATACATTGCTGTATTGAAAATCACTTTGATTGATTCTATATTTTAGCTGCTGATAGATGGGTCTTTCTGGCGCACAATTTCCAGTTGAAAAAGTACTCTGCTTTTTTATATGCTTATAGGTTAATTTTTTCCTAAATAAAATGTCTTTTATTTTATGTTTTTCTCCTACCCCCCGCCCTGCACTACAGATTATTTATGTGGCTCGTAATGCTAAGGATGTTTCAGTCTCATATTACCATTTCGACTTAATGAATAATTTACAACCTTTTCCTGGTACCTGGGGAGAATATCTGGAAAAATTCATAGCTGGAAAAGGTACATACACTTTATCTTAAAATTAATAAGTAATTTTTTAATTTTAATAATCCTATTAACAATAACTTTTATGACTTCAAAACACTTATTTTTCCAACTCAGTAAAAAGTGTGTTCAAATACTATCTAAAACATTAAATCTAATGCGTCTAACATTTTACTATGACATTTAATTTATAAAACTAGTATTAATCATTGGTATATGAAAGTATTCTATAATCTGTTCTTGGTTGCTAGATATCCATTCTCAGTCCCCAATCACAATAGACATTATTTAACTTGCTTAAGTAATTAGATATGTGAATGCATATGTTATAGTTATAATACTTAGATAAATAATTGATATGAATACTTTGTAAGATAATAATTTCCTTCTTTGTGAAGCTAAGTATAACTTTTTGCAGGTCAGTATATTTTTGTCTGCAATGTTTTCTTCATACTTGACATTATAAAATATCTGATGCTTATATATCCATAAATAGCTAATTTTACTTTTGAAAATTGGCCTCATATTCTCAGTTTCTTTGATTACTAAATTACACAAACATTTTCACAATTTGACTTGACGTTCAGAAAAAATATTTAATTTGATGAATGTTTATGAAAATAGAGTTTTATCTTGTTTTAGTGAGCTATGGTTCCTGGTTTACTCATGTTAAAAACTGGTGGAATATAAAGGAAGAACACCCAATACTTTTCTTGTACTATGAAGATATGAAAGAGGTAAAATGGTAAATATGGATTGTGGACAATTTCCCTACCACCTCATGCTATAGAAGGATTAATATTTGCTTTTCAACTTAGTCAGTGGAGTCCAAAATGATGATTGCTTTGCCTAACCACCATACGTTTTTAAGGCACATCTTGCTATGATAATTAATGACTTTCTAAATGTGAAATTAACGGTTTATTTTTATTCTTCTTGTCTCTTAGCCACTGTGTTATGTTACACCACTCTTTCCTCTGCAATTATTTCCTATGTTCAATAGGATATCACATGCTTATTGTTATTCTCTAGATATCTCACCAATTTTTAAAATCTATTCATTAATATTTTAAAATTGTTAATTATAAATTGTTTGCTATATTTGGGCTATCCCTTCCACACTTACTGTTTCACAACTATTATGTGCTAATTATATTTTATCTGTGCCTCCATTTTTACTTCTGCCTCGATTTTCTAGCTCATGCTTGTATTAAATTTAACATGCTCGACACTAATTTTATTTCTCTCCAACACGTAATCTTTTTATTATTTTATTCTCTCTCAGCAATAAAAGTTGTTCTTACTGTCTTCGTTTGCTATATTTTGCACATCCAGTTGTTTCAGATAGTCTATCTATTGTATCTTTCAAACTACTCCCTCCTTTCCTTCTTGACTACCTCACTCTTAGTGCAGAATTTTGTAATCATCTATTTAGTATAAAGCCATATTAATTAAATACAACTACAAAGTTTCATGCCACTGTTATGGAACTCTTCTACTTACATTGGCCAAATTCACACACACACACACCCCAGGGAAACATGTGGAAACTAGCTCCTTTACTTATAAAATCCTAAACATACAAATTAGAATGCTTTCAGATCTGCAATAAAAATTACCAAATTTGTCTTCTTTGAAACCATATCCCAGCACTTAATACCATGCATACCACATAAACAGGGGCTCGAGGTTACTTGCACGGATCATTGATTGCTTCAGTGAATAAATGGATGAGTGGTAATATCCAAAACTTTAATGACATTAATCCTACTTTGCACAACACAGAAATTTGGCCCTGTGTGAAATATTCCTTGCTCTAGCTAATTTTGAGAAACTCCCAGGGTGTTTCTTATATCTTATCACAAAGAATCCTCTGAGTTTTAATTCACTACCCAAGTTTCATTCTCCGTCACAGTTGTCCACATCCCACAAAGAATCTGTGATCTATGTCTTATCATTGTTGTTCCTTTATACAGGGTTTGAGATTATTCATGTTAATTTGCTCATACCACACAGCTGCAAAACCTAGCATGGTCTATGAAAATACAGTAAAAAAGTAATATGTCTCTTGAGAGATTGTTTAGCCAGAGATAAGTTATAAATTCTTAATAAGAGAGAAAATTGTTCCTGTTCTCTAACAAATACCTCTCTTCATGTTTTTGGATGTCAGAGCAGCACTTAAAAGCTTTAAGAAAAGAACAATTTTAGCGTCTGATAAAAGTCCCTTTTCTCCATAAGACTAAGAATATATTTCCTCTGCTTGGCTGCTATTCAAATTCCAAAACAACCATTATACTCTTTCCCATATGACATTTGAGACAATTTTTGTCCTTATTTAGGTAAAATGCGTTCAAATAAACGTACTCATTTTGATTTATAGTCTAACTCAGTTACTTTTTTAGGCATATCCATATATTTTCAATTTCCTTCAGACTTGTAACATACATTGCATGTAGCAGGCAATATTTTTTTCCTGTCATACAATCATCTGTAGATAATGTTATAGATAAGTTTAATGCAACAACAATAAAGGAAGAAAATTATGGAATATACATCAATAATAAAATTTGAAAAACGTTCAGGAATTTACAACATGTTTATGAGTATCTACATAAATTCCCGATAAGTGAGGTAAAAGAATAATACATCATAGGAAGATTCAGCCAGAGCCAGGACTCTGCTTTAATTTTACTGGTGTATAGAATAACACAGTGGTTCCCAGCTTTTTTTTTAGCACCAGGGACTGGTTTTGTGGAAGACAGTTTTTCCATGAACAGGATGCAAAGGGGCCATAGATGCATGGTTTTGGGATTAAACTGTCTCATCTCCGATCATCAGGCATTAGTTAGAGTCTCATAAGGAGTGTGCAACCTAGATCCCTCACATATTCAGTTCACAATGGGTTCAGGCTCCTTTGAGAATCTAATGCCACCACTGATGTAACAGGAGGCGGAGCTTAGGCAGTAGTGCTTGCTTTTCTACCACTCACATCCTCCTGTGTGGCCCAGTTCCTAACAGACCACTGACTAGTACTAGTCTGTGGCCAGTGGGTTGTGGTCTCCTGGACTAATATCATCATTAATACTTCAGCATTAGCCAAATTATTCTCCAAATATGTTTGATCCCAAAAGAAAAATGCCCTCTATTCTCCTGTCCATCTATATGTTTTTATAATATAACTACATCTTTTCTTTTGGGCTTATCTCCACTGTCATCATGGCTACTCTTTTACTCATTCTAACCACGGACAGACCCTAAGTTGTTATCTCATTCTTTGGTCAGAGAGGACTGACACAAAAAATATAACAGATATTCTTGATTTTTAATATTTTATAATTAGTTTATTTAAAAATTGAGAAAAATAAACCCAAACAAATATGAATTTCCTATACTATTCAGAGTCAACATTAATAAAAACAGATCATAAATGTTTTTAGTTTTAGAAATATTTACATTGTGCTAATTTCTTGTTTATTGCCTTGGGCATGACTTTTTATCCACTAATAGAATCCAAAGGAGGAAATCAAGAAGATCATGAGATTTCTAGAGAAGAACCTGAATGATGAGGTCTTGGATAGGATCATCCATCACACCTCATTTGAAGTGATGAAGGACAATCCTTTGGTGAATTATACACATCTACCAACTACGGTGATGGATCATAGCAAATCCCCTTTTATGCGTAAAGGTGAATACTCTCCTGGGTTTAATTCCCCTTTTTTACTTTCTTATGAATTATCGTGAGCTAAGGATTAGTTCTGTGATCTCTACTAAGTTACTTATCCTGTTGAGCTAAGAATTTGTTCTGTGATCTCTACTAAGTTACTTACCCTGTTTAAACTTTACACTAAATACCTACCACCAAAAGTTGCTGAGATTCAAAATTATTAAATGAAAAAATGCATGTGAAGCTATTACTAGAATACCTTGAATATTTGATAAATATTTATTTTTCTATTTCCTACTGTGCTAAGTCAAAGTGGTTTTGGCAATTTTAATGTGAGCGATTCCAAATTTGCCATTCTTACTCCCTCAAATCTTTGTCAAAATTGCAATAGATAAGCTTCCTTTCCCTCCTCAGTGAAATGTTAACTTCATTTAGTACAGTATCATAGTCTTTGAAGTCCCCATATCACTTAGAAAACCATGGGAATTGCATTAAAAATAATTCACCTAATGGAGAAGCTCTATTTTAACCTTAAGAATTCTTTTTCCCTCTACAAATACTGTCTAAACTCTAAGTAACATAGAGTCCAAATTTCACTTAGAAGAATATGGCATTTACTGTTGATATACGTAATTTTTATTTAAGCAGTCTGTTTATCGTGGCTTATTACACATAATATATGTCAAAATGGGCCAGGCGCAGTGGCTTAAGTCTGTAATCCCAGCACTTTGGGAGGCCAAGGCGGGTGGATCACGAGGTCAAGAGATCGAGACCATCCAGGCCAACATGGTGAAACCCCGTCTCTACTAAAAATACAAAAAATTAGCTGGGCACGGTGGTGCGTGCCTGTAATCCCAGCTACTCAGGAGGCTGGCACCTTTTGTTTTCAATATCTTTTATTGAATTGTAAGGAGAGGAATAGAATTTAAATTTATATACTAGGATGTAAGCACAACCTTACAATGTATTGTGCATATAAATACATAAAACCACTGATTTTCAGTAATATAATTAAATTTTTTGAAAAGTTGTTTATTAACTTATTAAAATAGCAGATAGCCCTAGAGTTTTCAAATTACGCTCTTTCTTTTCCAAAAACACTACATTTAGCCTGTTAAAAATAACTTCTAGAGTAAGAAAGCAGGTACATTTTTCATCATAAATTGTATGCATTATGAGTTTGAGCAAAGACTGAAGACTGATGTGTGTGTATATATACACACACATATATAAACATATATATATATATATATATATAATCTGTATGCTTATACACAGATGTAAATGTATGTGTATGTACAGTCATCCCTTGTTAACGTGGAGTATTAGTTCTGGGAACTCTGCTTCTGAATATACCAGAAGCTGCCTATATAAAAAGCTGGAACTCCAAACATGTTGGTGGGTTTCTCATTATGCAAATACTGTATTTTTTAGTACATTTAGTTGAAAATATGTCTGTGTATAAGTGAACCTGGCCAGTGCAAATCTGTGTTGTTGCATTCATATACATACATATTCTTTTTCCTGGTAGAAGAATTAGAAAATAAATCTTTATTAAACATGACTAATTCTCACTGTGCTAGATACCTGAATGTAATTTCCCAGAAATTTTATCTTAAATCATAGGAAAATTGATGTCATTTCATGACATCTAATTATGGTGTAGACATAAAGAAGACAAGCTCAGTATCTGGATTCTATGGCTTCTCCAACTTCAACAGAAAAAAGCACATGCTATTCTAATATTGAAGGCAGTCTTTATATCCCCTCTGCAGGTGGTTAAGACCATACTTTTGCAGTCAGATTGATCTGAAGTTTATGCAGGCTATGGCATTTCCTGAACCTATGACCTAGAATATGTTAATTAACCTGCCAAAGCTCTGATTACATCACTGGCAAAATAGAGAATATAATAACACCTATGGCACAAGATTCTGTGGAGTATTAAGGCAAATAATATGTAAGCATTAAGGATATTTTCTGACAATAAATAATGCATACAAAAGTAAAAAGTATTATTAGTCTAAATAGTTCAACCTTCCTTCCTTCCTTCCTTCCTTCCTTTCCTTCCTTCCTTCCCTCCCTCCCTCCCTCCCTCCCTCCCTCCCTTCCTTCCTTCCTTCCTTCCTTCCTTCCTTCCTTCCTTCCTTCCTTCCTTCCTTTCCTCCCTCCCTCCCTCCCTCCCTCCCTCCCTCCCTCCCTTTCCTTCCTTCCTTTCCTTCCTTCCCTTCCTTCCTTCCTTCCTTCCTTCCTTCCTTCCTTCCTTCCTTCCTTCCTTCCTGCCTGCCTGCCTGCCTGCCTGCCTGCCTTCCTTCCTTTACTGATGTATCCAGCAAACATTTAGAGTACTCATTCATTCATTAACATACATATAAAAAAACTATGGCTGGGTGCGGTGGCTCATTCCTGTAATCCCAACACTTCAGGAGGCCGAGTCAGGTGAATCACGAGGTCAGGAGTTCAAAACCATCCTGTCCAATATAGTGAAATCCCGCCTCTGCTAAACATACACAGATTAGCCGGGCATGGTGGTGCACGCCTGTAGTCTCAGCTACTCATGCACCACTGTACTCCAGCCTAGGCAAAAGAACAAGATTTCGTAAAAAAAAAAAATAAAGGAAAACAATACTTCATGAATACCTATACCCAGCACACTTTCTTTAAAAGACTCAAAGGTAAATGAAACATATATTTGCTTCAAGAAGCTCACAATGTAGTAGAAGGTCATGTGCCTAAAGGAATGCCAAAAGAAGTGAAGTATGAACACATACGCCAGGCACACTGAGTCTTGAAAGATACCATGTTAGATAAATCAATGTATTAGTCATACAATACTAGCATTATGAGGGTGAGATAGATAATGTCCAATGTTTATTCATATGTCTTAAATTACAACAAACAAAAGCCTGGGCTTTGGCCAGCATTTGTCAAAAGTTTTCTTGTAAAGCAAATGTGTTTGTGTATATTATAAAACTTAAGTGCAGATCAGATCACTGGAATGTTTTCTACATAACTTTTAATTCTTAAACCTGTGTTCTCCTCTGTTTTTAATGACAATGTTATGGATGCATTAGCCCCAGTATGTTGATGTTGAACCCTTATGTACATTCCAGAGTGACTGATATCTGGTGAACATAGAACGAACTGTAATAAATAAGGAAACAACCACATCTATAGGAATTTTTTTTAAACTTTATCAAACCATTGTGGATTAAAATAGCTTGTAATTGAATATAATGTATTACTATTTCATAAAATAGTAAGATGTTTTTCTCTAAAAATATTAGCACATTAAAAGTTTGTTCAGTTCTCAAATACTTTTTTATAAATACACAAGTATGAGAGATTAAATTTAAATTTTAAAGTTTCAGTTTAAAAAGCATGGTTCAGGGAGGTTAATTATTTGATATTAATTTTATTATTCCCACCTAAATTGCAAATAAAAAACAAGTCTAATGAATTTAGGGAAAGCAATTATCATCTGTATCATAGTATTCTTATTTATAAATTCTAGGAAATGATATTCATCAACTTTTTATTTTACAGTTTTGTTGTTCTGATGACCAATTTTTTGTATGGTTTCCAACAGTTACTTTATGAAATAAAATATGCTCTGACTATTGATCCAAGTACTCAGTGATAATCTCATGAACCAGGACCATTAGAAACAGTACAATTATCATTCTTTGGAAATTATTGTGAAGCCCAGGAACTTAAACAAGAAAATTAGTCTTTCTCAGAATGCCTCTTCAAATGTCAGACTCTATGTAGTCATAAACCTCCTTTCCATATGGAAACATTTATTTGATTTTTAAAAAACTTAAAAATTTAAAGGTTAAAATAATTTAAAGTTTATTTTAATTCATTCAAATAAAAAGAAAGTTTTTCTTGAGGCCTTCTAAACTTTTCCTTTGGTATATACTGCTTTTTGTTCTTACAGGAATATTTTATTCTTTCCTATATTTTTTTATTTATCTTTAGGGATCATTGGTGACTGGAAGAATTACTTCACAGTGGCCCAAAATGAGAAATTTGATGCCATTTACAAGACAGAAATGTCTGAAACTGCACTTCAATTCCGCACAGAGATTTCAAGGGCCTAAATCATAAATCTGAAGAAAGAAGAGACTATCTATATTTGATTGAAATAAGGGCAGTTATTAATTGATTTGGGCAATCAAATGAATTTATAAAGGAGAATAATATGCTTTTAAAACATTGATTTTTTTCAGTGTTATTAATCACACCCCAATTTTGTTCCTTTGATTCTGAGGTTCCAAATTATCTAAGGCTAAAGTTGATTATTATCTTTTTGTAACAAAGGAACAATGTAACAAGCTCTTCCTGCCTTTTCCTACACTAGAACTGATAAGGAAGAAGGGACATATTTTGCTTAATCTCTCATATATTAGGATTTAGAATTAAGTTCTCCTCCCTAGTACCATGATCCAAGAAATGCTGTTTTCATAATGACACTATATTTTGTAACCCTGCCCCAATTTCCCTTTGATGAAAATTTGACCCAGGACACTGTGTTCCACTGCTGTCTACTGAGTTTCAAGTTGTTCTGAGTCATAGCTCATCTTGCAATGCCTGTATTTGGATAACATACTTCATGTCCCAGATCATGTCCCAGATCAGATTTTGGAAGTATTTTTTTCTACATCATACCAAATGTCAAAGTTTCCCAAGGGCGAACACCTACAATAGTCTCTGTAGAGTTCTTCCCTGGGAACTGCAGCTCTGTTCTGAGAGCTGGTCCTGAGGGCTGTGACCTGCTTCCTATGAGGAGTCCTCTTTTACCCAGACCCATTTGATATTCAGAGAATCACCTACTGCTTTGTTCTGGTCACCATTTGAGAACTTTAGTTACTTGCTCTTATGTTTAAATATATTTGGATACTTTAATAGCACCTCCAATACCCTAGACATGATCACAGCTTTTGCTGAAAATTTCCCAATCTGGTGCCCAGTGAAGACTCTCTACTCTGCCCTCCTGACCCAATGTTCCTTAAATTACGTGCTAATGTCTATTTGTTTGATCTATGGTTTCTTGGAACATTTATTTATCAACTCCACTTTTCCATTAGAAGTCGTTGTTTATATCTTCATGTGCAGCAAAGTCTTTTTCCTGAGGTCAGATCACCTGTGCCAAGATATATGGCAAGTCATGGTTCTCAAACTGAAGCTAGAGTACCTTGGGCCCTTACTTGTTCTGAAAGGGGTGGGGGTGGTGGTTTCTGACACATTGTTAGACTTTCCTAGCCACAACTAAGGTAGCTATGGTTTATGGTATTTTAACTTCACAGGTGAATCTCTGCTGTCAGCCAGGAATATCTAAAATAGCTCCTTAAGCTGTAACTTTTCTCTTTTCTAACGCCTGTAAAGGACTAGTCTAATGTTAACTATAAACCCACTAGAAGTAGTACACCTATTATTCTTGAGATAGTTGCTTCTATAGATAGTTGCTTCTATAATATGTGTTATGAAGTATTTTAGAGTATGTAATTTGTGTTTATGTTCCACAGAAACATATTTCACAGGAGTTAGTCTTGACTATCTAGAGGTATTATGAACTAGTTTCAGCTTTCTCCAATACTCTTGTCCACAAGAAGTAAACGAAAATAAATCATGTATCTATTTGCTCTATTATATTTGTTAATTAATAAATTAATGTGGCCTGAATATATATGGATTTTTGATACTATGGTCTATTATTGGGGGCAAACACCTCTAAACCATCCTCTAATCTGTGTAATAGATTAGCTACACTAACTTTCTTCAGTAGCAAAATAAAATAATTTCCCCTTTTCTAGTTTTACTTTGTAGAATTAAGTCTCTGTAATTGGACTGTATTCAACAAAAACTTAGTAAATTTTAATTATATCTCAGGTATGTTTCTATGCACTGAGTGAAGAGTAAAGATAAAAATAATTTAGATTTTCCTTTACATTTTGTATACGTTGTTGCCTCCTTTATATTTATTCTCTAATGCAAATTTCACTATCTTAATTCATCAGTTTATGTTTAACATCAAACAGTGGCACTTCTACAGTGATTCAAATACATTTGATATCCTTTGAAATCATTCAGAATGTTGCAAAATTAATTTTTCTAAAACAATGCTTTTATCATTGTTTCTCCATTCAGTCATCAGTACATTTTCAAATGAAAATACTTAAAATAATCTCATGTTAATGTCTTTCTCTAACAGAACCATGATGTAAGGACAGTGATAAGAAATAGCTGACAATGATATGATTATTTCCTCATGCATGGAAATTCTCCCTAATAAACTAAAGGGCTATTTTCTAAAAAGTCAAAGCATTGCTTACAAGAACTTTTCATCATTACATGGATAGACATTGAGATTTAGACATTCAAAGGGAAGTGTCATGTATTCCCTTTCTTTTTGTTTTTATATTTTTTATTTTTTATTGCATTTTAGGTTTTGGGGTACATGTGCAGAACATGTAAGATAGTTGCACAGGTACACACATGGCAGTGTGTTTTGCTGCCTTCCATTTCTTCACCCACATTTGGCATTTCTCCCCATGTTATCCCTCCCCAGCTCCCCCCACCGCTGTCCCTCCCCTATTCCCCCCAATACACCCCAGTGTGTAGTACTCCCTTCCCTGTATCCATGTGTTCTCATTGTTCATCACCTGCCTATGAGTGAGAATATGCAGTGTTTCATTTTCTGTTCTTGTGTCAGTTTGCTGAGAATGATGTTCTCCAGATTCATCCATGTCCCTACAAATGACACAAACTCATCATTTTTTGATTGCTGCATAATATTCCATGGTGTATATGTGTCACATTTTCCCAGACCAGTCTATCATCAATGGGCATTTGGGTTGGTTCCAGGACTTTGCTATTGTAAACAGTGCTGCAATGAACAATCGTGTGCATGTGTCCTTATAGTAGAACGATTTATAGTCCTTTGGATATATACTCAGTAATGGGATTGCTGGGTCAAATGAAATTTCTATTTCTAGGTCCTTGAGGAATCGCCACACTGTCTTCCACAATGGTTGGACTAATTTACACTCCCACCAACAGTGTAAAAGTGTTCTTATTTCTCCACATCCTCTCCAGCATCTGTTGTCTCCAGATTTTTTAATGATCACCATTCTAACTGTCATGAGATGGTATCTCAATGTGGTTTTGATTTGCATCTCTCTAATGACCAGTGATGATGAGCAGTTTTCATATGATTGTTGGCCTTATGTATGTCTTCTTTTGTAAAGTGTCTGTTCATGTCCTTTGCCTAGTTTTGAATGGGCTTGTTTGTTTTTTTCTTTTAAATCTGTTTGAGCTCTTTGTAAATTCTGGATATCAGCCCTTTGTCAGATGGGTAAACTGCAAACATTTTTTCCCATTCTGTTGGTTGCCTATTCACTCTAGTGACTGTTTCTTTTGCCGTGCAGAAGCTGTGGAGTTTGATTAGGTCCCATTTGTCTATTTTGGCTTTTGTTGCCAATGCTTTTGGTGTTTTGGTCATGAAGTTCTTGCCTATTCCTATATCCTGAATGGTTTTGCCTAGATTTTCTTCTAGGGTTTTTATGGTGCCAGGTCTTACATTTAAGTCTTTAATCCATGTGGAGTTAATTTTAGTGTAAGGTGTCAGGAAGGGGTCCAGTTTCTGCTTTCTGCACATGGCTAGCCAGTTTTCCCAACACCATTTGTTAAATAGAGAGTGCTTTCCTCATTGCTTGTTTTTGTCAGGTTTATCAAAGATTGTATGGTTGTAGATATGCTGTGTTGTCTCTGATGTCTCTGTTTTGTTCCAATGGTCTATATCTCTGTTTTGGTACCAGTACCATGCTGTTTTGATTACTGTAGCCTTGTAGTATAGTTTGAAGTCCGGTAGTATGATGTCTCCCACTGTGTTCTTTTTGCTTAGGATTGACTTGGCTATGTGGGCTCCCTTTTGGTTCCATATGAAGTTCATGGTGGTTTTTTCCAGTTCTGTGAAGAAAGTCAATGGTAGTTTGATGGGGATAGCGTTGATTCTGTAAATTACTTTGGGCAGTATAGCCATTTTCATGATATTGATTCTTCCTAACCATGAACATGAAATGTTTCTTCATCTGTTTGTGTCCTCTCTTATTTTGTTGAGCAGTGGTTTGTAGTTCTCCTTGAAGAGGTCCCTTACATTCCTTGTAAGTTGTATTCCTAGGCATTTTATTGTCTTGTAGCAATTATGAATGGCAGTTTGTTCTTGATTTGGCTCTCTTTAAGTCTGTTATTGGTGTAGAGGAATGCTTGTGATTTTTGCACATTGATTTTATATCCTGAGACTTTGCTGAAGTTGCTTATCAGTTTCAGGAGTTTTTGGGCTGAGACGATGGGGCCTTCTAGATATACTATCCTGTCGTTTGCAAATAGAGACAATTTGGCTTTCACCTTTCCTATTTGAATACTGTTTATTTCTTTTTCTTGCCTGATTGCTCTGGCTAGAACTTCCAGTACTATATTGAATAGAAGTGGTGAGAGAGGGCATCCTTGTCTAGTGCCGGATTTCAAAGGGAATGCTTCCAGTTTTTGCCCATTCAGTATGATATTGGCTGTTGGTTTGTCATAAATAGCTTTTATTACTTTAAGATACGGTCCATCAATACCGAGTTTATTGAGGGTTTTTAGCATAAAGGGCTGTTAAATTTTGTCAAAGGCCTTCTCTGCATCAATTGAGATAATCATGTGGTTTTTGTTTTGGGCTCTGTTTATGTGGTGAATTATATTTATAGACTTGCTTATGTTGAACCAGCCTTGCATCCCCGCGATGAATCCTACTTGATCATGATGGATAAGCTTTTTGATGTGCTGTTGCAATCGGCTTGTCAGTATTTTATTGAAAATTTTGCCTCTATGTTCATCATGGTTATTGGCCTGAAGTTTTCTTTTCTTGTTGAGTCTCTGCCGGGTTTTGGTATCAGGATGATGTTGGTCTCATAAAATGAATTGGGAAGGATTCCCTCTTTTTGGATTATTTGGAATAGTTTCAGAAGGAATAGTATCAGTTCCTTTTGGTGTGTCTGGTAGAATTTAGCTGGGAACCCATCTGGACCTGGGCTTTTTTTTGTGTGGTAGGCTCTTAATTGCTGCCTCGACTTCTGACCTTGTTATTTGTCTAGTCATAGTTTCAGCTTCCTCCTGGTTTAGGCTTGGGAGGACACAGGAGTCCAGGAATGTATCCATTTCTTCCAGGTTTACTAGTTTATGTGCATAGAATTGTTTGTAATATTCTCTGATGATGGTTTGAATTTCTGTGGAATCTCTGGTGATTTCCCCTTTATCGTTTTTTATTGTGTCTATTTGATTGTTCTCTCTTTTCTTTTTTATCAGTCAGGCTAGTGGTCTTTCTATTTTGTTGATCTTTTCAAAAAACCAGCTCTTTGATTTACTGATTTTTTTGAAGGGTTTTACGTGTCTCTATCTCCTTCAGTTGTGCTCTGATCTTAGTTATTTCTTGTCTTCTGCTAGGTTTTGAGTTTTTTTGATCTTGCTCCTCTAGCTCTTTCAATTTTGATGATAGTGTGTCAATTTTGGATCTCTCCATTCTTCTTGTATGGGCACTTATTGCCATATATTTTCCTCTAGATACTGCTTTAAATGTGTCCCAGAGATTCTGGTATGTTGTGTCTTTGTTCTCATTGGTTTCAAAGAACTTCTTTATTTCTGCCTTCATTTCATTGTTTCTCTAATCAACATTCAAGAGCCAGTTGTTCAGTTTCCAAGAAGCTGAACGGTTCTGAATTAGTTGCTGGATTCTGAGTTCTAACTTGATTGCACTATGGTCTGAGAGGCTGTTTAGGTATGATTTCAGTTGTTTTGCATTTGCTGAGGAGTGCTTTACTTCCAATTATGTGGTCAATTTTAGAGTAGATGTGATGTGGTGCTGAGAAGAATGTATATTCTGTGGATCTGGGGTGGAGAGGTCTGTAAATGTCTATCAGGTTTGTTTGTTCCAGGTCTGAGTTCAAGCCCTGGGTTTCCTTGTTAATTTTCTGTCTGGTTGATCTGTCTAATATTGAAAGTGGAGTGTTAAAGTCTCCCACTATTATTGTGTGGGAGTCTAAGTCTCTTTGTAAGTCGTTAAGAATTTGCCTTATATATCCGGGTGCTCCTGTATTGGGTCCATATATATTTAGTATCGTTAGCTCTTCTTGTTGTATCGATCCTTACCAAGCAAATGGAGAGCAAAAAAAAAAAAAAAAAAGCAGGAGTTGCAATTCTCATCTCCGATAAAATAGACTTTAAATCAACAAAGATCAAAAGAGACAAAGAAGGAAATTACATGTATTCCCTTTCACACCACCCTATTCTAATGTGTTATCTTCCTAACTCATTTTCTATTCACATTCTTCACTCTCTTTCCCATTGACCCTATGTTTTGTTTGATAGAAATTGCATCATTGGAGGCTTTTGAGGGTTAAGTATTATGACCCATTTCGGCATTCATCAACATATAACTCTTCTCCCTATTTGGTAACCCCTTTCATATACAGAAAAAGATAGTATAATTTATTCAAAATGCTTGATATTAATGATATATGGGGAAACAATTATTTTGTGCAGTGATCTTCAGATAACTGGGAAAAGTCATAGAAAAAAGAGAGATACTGATGATTATCATGGACCCATGTATAAATTGTTTTTATTCTGTAAGCTATCTTCACAAATGTC